AAAAATTGGGGAGTACATCATATGAAGTCATTTAGTGTGAGGTAAATAATCATATGTTATAAAAATCTGTAACAAGTATTGATAAAAATTGGGGAGTACATCATGTGAAGTCATTTAGTGTGAGATAATCATATGTTATAAAAATCTGTAACAAGTATTGCATTCCTCATAAAACTACATTAAATGTAGTAATAATCACTGTATTTCAGCTAGTACTGTGAGTGATAATCAACATAAGAAGGCCAGGTCATCAAAAAAAGATTTATTGGTATTCGGTATTCTCTCTTAAGTTGAGGAAGTAAATAATACACTATAGAAAACGTTCTACTAAAAGGTTTTGTTGATGCATTTAAAATTCTATAGCACTAAAAATGTAAATTACTAGTTATCCTTAAAATTTGGTTCTCCGTATGTATTCGTTCTTGAAAGGTTCCAGATTGCTGAGTTTCATTTTCAAATTGTAGTCTTGCTAAAATTCTATTATTGTAAATCTCAGAATATGTGGTCAACTACTGATATTCTCTCCATTAATAAGCAATGCTGAAACAGTCTGAGACCACCTTCCACATTGCCGATGGCAAAGGAAGATGGTAATATTATCTGTTCCATGGTCCCGTACCAGGTCTATAAATTATCAAAAGATAACTCTATGCAATAGTTAACAAAATGGGTAAGGAGCGATGCTTTTCCACACATAACTGCATTTCTTCATGTGGGAAACGACAAAATAATAGAATAGCAATAAGTCATTTCTATGTCACCATGAATTGAGTTGTTAAATGGTGAATCAGTTTAGCTTGAGCATGAGAAGAGCTTAACTGGGAGGTAAGTTTGCATTAGTGAATCTGGGAAACGCCTCTGATCACAAGAAGTAGGGCATCTGGGTGGCATCTGAGTTTTTCTATTCAAACTTGCAAATTGTTTTTCCAAAACATGGGGATAGATAAAGTCTAGAATGTCTTTTGTGAAATACTTTACACTACTATCTTTCCAACCATGTCTCATTCTATAATTTAAACCTTGAGAGAAGGGGCTTTATTTTCCTGATCGTTATATCATTATATCCCCAAGTACACCAAAGTACGTACGTACATACATACGTACATACATACAGTAAGGAATATTTAATGTATATTTGATTCTCTTTAAATGGAATCAAAAGGTGTTGAGTTATACAGCTTCCAAGAAGTCTCCTACATCATTAAAGTTTTTAAAAGATTCTTTGTTTGAACCTGGAAGGGATATCAAGTAAACAATAAATAATTTCAACATACAGACTATTTAGATGAGAAGACTGGACTCACTTATGTTAATTATCTTTGAAGTGTAAAGGACGCCACTGTTAACTGGGCTTTACCTGTCTCCTGTGAAGAATTAGAAGATTCATGTGAAATTTTAGACACCTTTCTTTTCTCATCTCAGTCTCCCTCATTTGTGACAGATTCCACACTCTGCTCTTCCTCACTAAAGATGCAACAATCTGCCTGTAATTATCCTCTGAAAAAGGACAAAGATACATCAGAGAAAGAGTGGCACTTGGGTGAGGGAACTGAGCAACTGCAGTATCGTCCAGAGAACAGCAACTCTGACAGCGTCGCTTGGAAGCATCCAGCCACAAAGCCTCTTGGCTGCATGGGGAAGACAGAGTTATCCCAGCCAGAGGTAGACTCCCAAAGTCTTGGGGCCTCTCCTCTGAGCCCCCTGAGGAGCTTGTCAAAGAGTCACTGTGAGAACCAAGGGAATCTTCTCCAATTTGACCGGCAAGCCCCGGGCCGAATTTCCACCTCTCCCACTTTGAGGAGATTAAGGGGCAGTAGCTGTGGGACATTCCACTCCCTGCCTCAGCAAGAGACCTTGGAAGGGCCCACCTGGGGAAGCTGGAAGGAGCCTGCAGGCTCCCCGTGTTACCTTTTCAAGAATCTACCTGGAAGTCCAAATGATTCTTCGCATTCTATGTTGTCCTCGGGACTCCACTCAAAATTGCCTCTGGACCCCAAAAGGGCCCTCAAGGCAGCTGACACATTCAAGCCCCAAACAGGGCCCACAGATGAGGATGTCTTTCCCATGTTTCAGCCTATCGAAGAGGAGTCCCTTCCCCAGACCTCTCTTCCAGAGAGAGGAGGCCACTCTCTGCCTGCTTCCACCATACGGCTCCCTAGGCCTCAGGTAACACAGCTCTAAGCCTCCTGCCTCTCATTCAGTGGACTGAAAAGCAAAATAGGCCTCAGGATTTTCACATGATCCCAGAAGCAAGGGGTACCTGTGATGGGAGATAACTCAAGAAGTCACAGCTGAGAGGACACATGCTCTTTAGGACATGTTGACTCTCAAGTTAAAGGGGTACAATGGTTTAGGGAAGAAGGAGAATGGAGATCTAGCTCACTTTCATCTTCTGCATCTTTAAAGATACTTTAAGAAATGGCTCACCAAGGTCAGGCTGGACATGGTATGCTGGGCATTGTATAGTTAAGGTGGCCCTCTTGCAAATACACACTATTTGAAGACAACCTACTTTGGTTGGTTTAAAAGGAGAGAAAGAGCAAATTATTCAAATTTCTAATATCCTCTTAGCTAAAATGTTCAAAAACATTTTAGCTAAGAAAGTTAATTGCCTCTCATTTCAAGATGTCTGCTTAGGAATTTTGGATGGATGTAAACAAAACTAAAACATACTTTTTAAAAATTTATTTCAGAGAGAAGAATTACATCGATCCAGGTATGTGTGTATTTATTTTCTCCTGTGCTATAAAATCTGTTGACTGTTTCTTTTATATCTATTTTTCTGTTGTGACATAGCAAACTTGATGGCTTAATAATCAGGGCACTTTGTTTTATAGCCCCCAAGTCACTCTTTTCATTTATAACTGAAATATTCTTAATTTCAAAATTACAGCATTTGGCTGTGGCTTTTGAGGGCAGGTTATGACAGCCACAGGCGGTCATGGTTTTCATTTTGAATTGTCAATGAATTGACCCTGTGGTTTAATTAATATCCACTTAGTAATAGCTTTTGACAGGTAGAGAAAATGGGAAGGACAGGAACATTCAAGAGCTTTTCAAAGAGAAATTTAGAGGATGAGAATTCAAGGAACAACATGTGCTGTGAAATCTAGGACAACTTTTAAAACGCCTATTATGACAGACTGTACCTTTGGACTGTCTGTCATATGCATCACCTCAGAAACCAGCTCTGAACTTTCAGCATAGTCCTCAGGTTGTGGCAATAGATTTGCCATCCCTCCCAGGGATGAAGATCTTCTCTGGCTGCAAGGAAAAGATCCAGGCCCAATTTCATCCACCCAATTTGTGGGACTGGCAGAAAAGGCCTCATTTTATTTGGAAAGTTATGGAGGAATCCTCAGGGAATTAGCCATTGTTTTATTACTGGACCTCAATCCTCAAGCAAGAATTTAAGTTCATAATAGGAAAGATGCAATCTTAGTTGATTTTAACCCTAGTTGACCTAAATGTATGAACAAAGGTAGAAGATATTTATAAAGCCACAGTTAGCTATTGCTATGTAACAAACCATCCCAAACCACAATAGCTTAAAATAACAGCCAGTTATTGTTTCTTATAAATCTATGTGTCTGCTGAGAGTCAGTTGATCTAGGCTGCACTGAGCTGGGTAGTTCCATTCTACATGTTTTTTATCGTTTTCAAAGGTCTACCCTGGCATGACCGTTTTTCTTAAGGTAAAGGGAGAGGACAAGCAGAGACATGCAAGTCTTCTTGGAGACTGAGCTCTGTATCTTGCCTAATTCTATTGGCCAAAGCAAGTCATATGGCTGAACTTTGGGGCAGAAAATTATGTGGCACTAACAGTGGAAGAGCACTGAAATGTTATGTGACAAATAGTATGGATACAAGTGTTGGTGAAGAATGGGATCGTTAATATAAATCTTCCGCAGGTGCAAACTAGAATAAAGCTCTAAAATGATACCTAATTGAGATGTGTCAGAGAAGGTGAAAAAGAGAGTATTCTGAGAGAAAGATGATGATGTTGATTAGACTCAATCATTCATAGTCTGGTAAAATGTTTAGGGATTTTGTTCCTTATCCAAAGAGCAGTATGAAACCATTGAAAGGATTGATATGATCAGATACATATAGGGTAGACATGAGACTTAGATGAGAGTGGATTCCAGCAGAACAATTAGAATGTTTAGGTATGAGACACTGATAGGTTAGGCTCTGATAAGGCAGTGGAGTTAGAAAGAAGTATCTCAGTTCAAGGGTTATTTAGGAGCTGCAATCACCTAGACTTTGTGACTAGTTGACCATAAGGAGTGAGAGGAAAGAAGTTGTCAAGAATGACCCCAAAGCTTCTGGCTTGTACCACTGGGTGGCAGATGGTTTTATTTGCTGATCTAGGTAATATTGAGAGGAGGGAAGGGGAGAATAAGGGTGAGTAAGGTATCGGTCTTGACTTCCAGTTTGGACATGTTGAGTTTAAGGACCTATGGAACATCTGAGTGGAGATTTTGAGGAGATTCTTGATTAGAGAAGGCATCATGGAAGGAGCTACATATCTGAGGATCTTTAAACAAGGAATGTTTCCCAGAGACGGTGACTTCTGTGTCCAGCCTTGATGATAAGATGGAGTTAGCAGATGTAAAGGCTAAATGATGGGACAGATCAAGCCATTTGCAAAAGATCACATGTAGGTAGTTTTTATTGACATGCAGAATCTTGTAAGACAGTAACAGTAGTCTTGATAAATGCAAAGGAACAACTTAGTCAAAGGGCTTGAGGCCTTAAAAAGCTCTGTGGAGTTCAGTATGTCACAGTCACAAATCACAACAGGGAATTAGAGGAGAGGTAATTTAGACATCTGATATCCAGTAATGAGCCTGAATTATGTAATATTGTTTCTCTAGGACTTAGTACAATACTTGGCATGTAGAAGGCAAGGTTTGCTGAATGAATAAATGAAAGACTGAGTAGCTATAACCTATAAATTAATGTTAAACATTTATATATTACTACTAATAATTTAAAAAGTATTATTTTCACCAGTCCTAGACCATTTAATCTATAATTTGTAATCAAAAAATTTACCTTAAGCATGAATCTTTGGTAAACAGCTAGCCATCCATAGCACAAAGATCTCCTGTCTGTCTTTTTCTCCTTCTCCCTCGTCTTTGTCACGTCTCTTCAGTCTTTTCCACGGCAGCTATTTGTTCAAAGGTTACTTCTTTCTCTACTTACCAGGTTTAGTCATACAATGTCAGAAAAAGAGCTCCACCTGAGGCCCTGCTGTCCATCCAGGAGGAGCTGGAGGCTCTACCTCAAAACCTTTAACTTAGTTAACTTAGGACTTTAACATGCCTATTAAATGGGATAAGCCAGAAGCTAGCAGACTATGGTCTATGGCTTGAATTCAGTCCACTATTTGTTTTTGTAAACTTAGTTGAATTGGTACATAGCCACACCCATTCATTTAAATGCTGTCCATGGCTGCTTTCATGGCTGTGCAACAGCATAGTTGGGTAGTCACTACAGAGACTATATGGCCTAAAAAGCTTAAAATATTTACTGCCTGGCTCTTTATAGAAAAAGTTTTCCAACCCCTGGTATATTCAGTTAAGAAATGCTTGCCTCTATGGTTGTTAATCACAACAAACTTTATGCCTTGTAGAATAGATATGAAACCCTTTTTATCAGAAATACTGATTCTTCTTGTATTATAGTGTTTTAACAACATGGCCTGACAATTGGACAAACTCATGTAAATAAGAAAGGCTCAATCTATTCAGTTCTAAAATCAGCTCACTTTCAAGACTTTATTCCAGGTTTTTCTTTATGAACTTCTTTTCTTGCTCTATAATATTTCAGTGAACTCACACTCACTCCAAACCTTCTTCTCCTATCACCAAAATATACCTCCTGGAAAAGAATTTTTACAATTTATTCCTACTAAGGTGTGAAGGACTCTGAGCTAAAGGATATCTACACTCAACTTTCCAAGCAGGCCAGTGTATTCCTCCCTTTTGGGTTTTCCTACACCTTGTAAATTCCTCCATCACAGCATCTGAACCACTGTACTGCATTTCTTTTATATTCATCTGCTTCCAGAATTAAGACCTTCCTGAAGGCAGAGACCACTTATTTATCTCTAAACCTCTAGCACCTAGTACCAAGCCAGAATCTATCTCCAAAAATATTTATTGAAGAAAAATATGGAGGAAAGAAGGAAAACAGTCAGGCTGGCAGACTGCTTGATTTACAGTGGTAATTATCTCTCCCAGACGTATTTACATTTTGACAGAGAACATGACTTGAAACCAAACAATGAAACTGTGTTGGTGGAATTTTAAACATCAGAAAGCAAGTGGGGAAGATTTTGGGGTAAGGAGACCTTCCTGGTACTCCTAAAAATTTATATTCAGAGTAAGTTGTCAGTCTCCCCTAATATTCTGACCAGCCCTAAAGCTAAGAAGGGAAATGTACATACTATATCTGTAAGAGCAAAGACTAACATAAACTTCCAGTGTTTAAAAGGAAATTAAAAAAAGAAACTAAATATATCCAATTTAGCAACATGGGCAACAGTGGCATGAAAACCAAATGACAAAGTATTTAAAAGTCTATCTCAAGAAAGAAACCAGACGAAAACATCGAATTCCAGTAAAACATCCCCCAAAGCCATCTGGAGTTACACTTAGTGGGGCAGCATAATGTAGCATTAAGACTCATTGGGATCAAACCCTGTGTTTGAATCCTGTCTCTGCTTCTCTCTGGCAGCATGACTGTAACCAAGTTGTTTAACAACTTGAAATCTTGAAGTCTTCATCCATGAAGTATAGATACAAATTGTACCCATCTAATTAGGCTTTTGATATGATTAAAGAACATAACTAAAATATTAGCTGTTATTATTCTTTAAAGAAACCATTCATTCATTTATTCATTTATTTTTTTCATTAAGCACTTCCAGTATGCAAGTCATTGATTCGTTCTTTATAAAATATTCTGGCTGCAGATGTATTACAGGAAACTCATCTGATGTGTCTGAACATTAGATTCAATACAGTGTTATATCCTCCACAGACTTTTATTTAAAACCTGTTATCTACCTAGCACTGCCTGTAAACTCTGGGAAATATCAGAGAGAAGACTTTGTCCCAGCACTCATGGAGCTTTAAAGCCTGTTAGAAAGGTGTTAGAGACTAATAGATGGCATGTTGTTGTTTTGTTTATTTGTTTTTTGTTTTTTTATTTCTGCATTCTGTGGCATCATATTTTATTGCATTACATTTTCCCCCAGTTGTATTAAGATATAACTGACATATAACATTGTATAAGTTCAAGGTACACAACATAATGATTCGATATATGCATGTATTACAAAATGATCACCACGAGTTTAGTTAACATCCATCACCTCACATAGCTACACCTTTCTTTTTCCTAGTGATCAGATACATGGATGACATATTGCTAATTAGTCGAAAGAGGCAACTGCAGCCTGAGGGAGGCAGGGAAGCCTTCCTGATCTGGCCTGGAGAGTAGAGTGTGGACTGGCAGCTTTCTTCCACATCAGAAACTATGTGTTATTCTTCCACTGGCATCAGCTCCTCTAGAACAGAGATCCCCAGTCCCTGGGCCACAGACTGGTACCAGTTCATGGCCTACTACATAGCAGGTGGTGAGTGGCAGGAGAGCCTGCAAAGCTTCATCTGTATTTGCAGCCACTCCCCAGTGCTAGCATCA